TGGGGGGAGGGGGGAAAGGTTGTAGCCTAAAGCAATGCTTGGCTGACTGTAACTTCCTCATAATAAAATTACTTGACTGGAATTAAAACTTTCTAGCTGGGCTTCAGACAGAGCCAGAGGCAGTATCCAGACTAAGACATGTGGTAGCAATTTCCATAGTTCAATAATGCCTTGAATTGCTTACCACTCAGCTTCTCTGGAAGACCCTTAGTTTTAGCATTATGGGTGTGGCGGGGGGGGGATTTCTATGAACTTCCTTCTGTTCACTTAATTCAGGATCTAATCCATTATTTGTAAATGTGAGCATAAGTAAACAGCTTAGCTAATCTAAGTATGTCTTACACAGAACTGAATGAGGTCCTTGATATTTTTGTGCAAGAAACAAAGCATGATCCCCCACCAGGACGCTATGGAAAAGATAAAAAACAGTTGAGCTAATCAACTCTGTATGGGCTAGTACGGTGAAACAGGTTCAGTGGTAACACTTAAAAATGTAGGTTTTGTTCATATTTGTGCCTGGATATTGTCAGGAGTTAAAAACACTATGGGTGCATCAAGGCTTTCAAGGTACAATCATCCTGCCTTAATCACACAACATTATTGTCACTTGTAACTCTCCTATATTTTTCCACTTTCATCTTTTGCCTTACTGCAGAAAACCCATTAAGAAAAGATCGGAATGGCTGCACAATGCCTTCTGTTTTGTGGCTCTATCTGGAGCCATGCCCTGCATATGGGTAGAAAAACAGGCCAAACAAAGCAGAGTGTAATTAAGCTACTTTTCAGTTCAAGTGACAAAAGTTATATCCAATATCTTAAATGCACCTTGGTATAAAGTTTTGCATTTTTGTAAGTGTAAAGTACTCTCTAGTCTGAATAACTCTTTTGGATTGGTCAGAGTCAACATAGCTCTAGTTTTCAGCTTCTATCAGACCAGAAGTAGACACTATTTTACTAAATTAGGAATTTCCAAGCTTTTACTAAAATGTCAGACTTTTATTGCACATTTTCCTGTCAAAACCCGTCTATGAATTCAGCTCATCTAGCCAGGGGCCTTCACGATCTTTTTGGATCAATGAGCACATTTGGAGTATTGTGGGCATTCTCACAAACAGGTTGCAGTGAGGAGGTGCTCTTGTCTGGTCACAAAATGGCTGCAGTAGTGTCAAAAGCCAGTAGTTTCCCAGAAGGTGGTGAGACTGAAAGAACCTAAGAGAACCTAAGGGCAAAGCCAAGGTAGGGCTGAGCTCTAAAATAGAAAAAAACACCATTTTAAATCCAAAGAAAGATGGCAATGGAAGTTGGCTCTTCACTTTGCAGGAAGCCAATCTCCCAGTCAATTATCTAAAAAAGAACATCTTAAGAAATAAAATTAAGCTTAGGAGGGGCAGCAAACCTAGCAGTTTCCAAGAGACCTCTCTGCAGGCACATGAGTACCCATAGGCACTGTGTTGGAGACTCCATCTATAACAGACTTTATGTTGGAGACCTCATATACAAAGGCTGGCAAACCATAATGTGCTGACTACATGGTAGGTTCTACCACAGAATGGAAACATTTACCATATTGGATTTTTGGTGACTCTCACAGGTTATTTCTGAAAGTTTTCATGTGAGTAAAGGAAAAGCATCCCCTCAAAAAATCCAATCAGGCTGTTCAGCATTTGAAAGGATTTCCTTATCATGATCAGAAAAATATAGCACAAATCGTATAGATGACCTCTAACAAATTGTTATTGAGTGCATTGGAAGAAAGGTGATATATAAATGTAATAAATAACATTAAAGGCCATTCTGGGCAGAAACTAGGAGTATTTCAAACTGATGAGGATTTTAAACTGTCAGGTTGTGTTAACTGATGACTTTAGTTGCATTATCTCAGTTACCCTGTTAAACAAACAATAGCACATGTATATCCTTACTGTTGTTGTAATCCTATGCAGTTCTACCTGCATGTAAGGCACATGGAATTTGATAGGCACAGGTAGTATTAGGGGGCTCACCAGAGCTGGAGCCCTGAAGCCCTTGGAGGTCATCTGCCCACACCCCACTGTCTATGGGCATTCTTGAAAAATGGTACAGGGGCCCTGGTTATCTCTGCTGCAACTCACTTCCTTGGATTATCTGGCTTTTGGCTCACACGTGCTTCTCCTCCCACAGCCCCACCCAGAATCCTTCTGCCTGAGTTTTTTTCCCCTGAAATCAGATTCCCTCCTTTCCCCTATCTATGTATCCCTTTTTACAAGTAGGGATGTCCTTAGGAGAAAGGGTCCTTTAAAAACACACAAATAGTTTAAAGCATGTCTTCTATCTGTGCTTGTTGCAAACCATCCTGAGATGCTAGTAATGGGATGGTCTATAAAAACTTAAATAAATAAATAAATAAATCTTAATGCATTTTTGTTCTGTGGGCCTGTGCCCCAGATCTTTTCCATACCTAGCATTGCTTGTCAGTGGGTCTTACTTCTGAGTAGATATGCACAGAATTGCAGTGTAAATAAGGTGATACATTGTTCATGATCTGTGGCATTCATAAATGTTTATAAAGTATTCTGTAAATTTAGACTAAAGTAAGAAACATTTCTGGGCTATGATCCTCCCCCACCCACAGCTTTCTTTACAAAATTATGTTGAGAGAAAATGAACATTAAACAAAAATGTGAACAATCCAATCTAGAACCCATTTGCCCCGCAGTGCTCATAGTTCAGTTAATTAAGCTAAATTAAAGCCAAGCATTTGAGCTTAACTGGCTTCCAGTCATTATTTGTTTGTTTGTTTATAGACTTCCCTAAAATATTCCCCAAAGGGTAAGGGGAAACATTAATTAAAATGCTTAAATATATATTACAAGTGAATTGTTCAAAGAAACCCTGACAGCTGTGGAAGCTAAATGCCTGCAGAAATGACTCTCTGGAGGAAAAGCTAAACAATATGATAAAATCTGGTTGTCCCTGTTGCCTGCAAGCCCCATTCCAGAAATACTGTGAGGTCATAGTGTCATGGAATGATCATGAACATTCTAACTACTAAAATGGAAGGTGAAGAGTAGAGACTGCGTTTTGTTCCTACAGGTGTGTGATAACAACAACAGAGCTGGGAGGGTAAGTGAAATGAAAGCCCACAAAGCAGGGGAGCCAAAGGGTAGGGAGAGGGTAGCTGAAGAAAAGAGGGCAGAGTAAGCAGCATACAAGGAAGCAAGTCCATGAGAAAAAATGGGTGCAGAGAACAAAGGGTTTTGTGAAGCACAATGTTTAAGTTAGGAGGATCCAGGGAGAAGAACCTCATACATTGCAAGGTAAGGGAGAGGCAAGAAAATAATTGCAGTAACTTCAATTCACTTTCCATTCGAAGGCTGCTTTGTACATTAACAATGTTAGCCTGGTCTCATTGTGTTGTTTATTAAATTATCGCAGATAAAGCATTGGCTATCTGACCCTACAACAACCTCTTGTAACTAATATATTTAAGGTGCATGTGAGGGCAGGAACCTTAAGCCAGCATCATAACTTCTGTTATCTAGTACAAGTGGCCATTGTTGTGTTTACAGGCAAGCTGTAAATTTTCTACACTGTACTTTGATTCAGGAAAGGGGAGTTCAGTACAGGAATTTCCAGTACCTCATACAATTGTAAATGTCCCTTCATTGCTGTGTCAAACACAGGGTCACAAGAGAGGTGTTCTTTCCTACCTTCTTCCTGCACTTCCCTTAGCAAAACCAGAATAGACTGTCCTCATAAACTTATTAAAAGTAACTCCAGTGCTTCAGGAAGAAACACTGCCATCAGATTTTATTTATGGATAGGAGGTAGGGTGGAATCTCTCCTGTTACTGGTATAAGTTATTGGAGTAATTGGATGCTGCCACTGAATGCATATGTAGATTTTATTGAGGGTATGCCCATTTTAAATCAGTGGAAAATTAATTGAAAAGAAGTGCAGGGCATATGCTTTCATTTTGTCTTGCTGCCACTAGAAAAATAATATATTAAGAATACTATCTGACAGTAAGGTTTCCACTTGGCTTATTGCTATAAATAGGAATAAACCATGGAATTTATTTCCACCCAGGATCTTGTAGCTGGAGTCAGGGCTCAGAGAATCAAAGTACCTGGCCTTTCCTGATTAGCAGTGAGTATGTACCATCCTCCTCCTCTCCACAGCCTTTCCTTGTTCATTCTGAATTTAGCAGCAATTCCCAGTGATAGGTGCGATGGTTGTGGGTGCTTTTTGTAACGCGAAGGATTGGTGGGAGGCTTGATCTTTGAACAGGCAAAAATAAACAGGTAATTAAAACCTGAAGAAAACTTGTACAGATGATTTGCCACCTACATTTTTGGACTCTTCTTGGGAGAATGGCTGTGGGCACTGCCATGGTGACTCCTTGCATTTTACTTCTCCACTAGTAATCCAGATCGAAGAGTTTTATCCTTGAACAAGCAAGGATTTCATTTCAACACTTTAACCCAGTTTAATCGTTTTGGGGTAGCGAGAATACTTGGAAGCATGTTGGGAGGTGTAGGGCACTTTCTAAATATGCATAGGATTTTGCCTCAAACTGCAACCCTTTAAGCGAAGAGTAGGGTGGCCATCCTACTGTACTGGCACGCGATATGGGCAGCGTTCAACAAGATGATTAACGTCAGAACAGCACAGAGCAGAAGGGTGCAAGCCAGCTTTCCTGATTCGGATTTCGCACTATAGGTGCTGGCAGCATGCATTGGCAGGTTCCTTGTTTTCTGCAACAGGAAACTCTCCCGCGACTTTGCAGCGGACAGGTTTGCGAGGACATGCTGGCAGCAACGAGGGAGGCCTCTCTGGTCGTCTGGACAGGACAAAACTTGAACCCCTAGAGAAGCTCCAGTTGAAATAAGTCTTCCCATCCCCGCTCCAGTGCACGATCCATACCTTGAGCTCTCCTTGCCCCCCCCCTTTCCCAGTGGTACAGTCCGCTTGAGGGCGGAGTTTGTATTCGTAGTAAGACGCGTTTTCTGGGGGAGTGCTCTGCGCATGCGCGTGGACTTTGTGTGCTGCGTGAGCCGGCGGTTGTGGGCTTTTCTCTTGTGTCATTGCCTTCTGTTTACTGGCGTTTTGTTGCCGCCGCTCGCGATCCGTCGCCTTTGCCCTCAAAAGTCCGCGTTATGGCAGACCCTCGCGTTAGGCAGATCAAAATCAAAACGGGCGTAGTGAAACGGTGAGTTTCCGAGAGTCTGGGCCTTGACGTTCGTGTGCCTGTCCTGGGGCCATGCCTGAGTAGGGGAAGCCTGTGGTGTGGATGTGGGTTGTCGTTACCTCACGTGTGGGACGGTTGGAGGAGGAGTAGAGGGCCCCGTCTTGTGCCCCCCTCAGGAGTGGCCGTGTTTCTGTGTCTTCGTCACGTTGGTTGGCCAAGGGGGCGTCAACTTGAAACTAATGTTATGTGTGTAGCTGTGTGTGCGTGTTACTGCTTGACCCCAGTCATTCAAAGAATTCAGATAAACTCCTGTTTTCTGCCTTTACAACATTCCTGTGAGGTGGGTTAGGATGTTGACTGGGCCAGGGTCATTCAGTCTGTTTCGTAATTGGATGGGTTGTATCTTACCAGTTTTAGCTTGGCCTCCTTATCACTGCACAGGTTCCCACAGCTTTCAATATTTGCCTTGGTCTGTAATTCCTATAAATCAGGAGTTATTTGCAGCACATGTAAATAGTTCTGAAACTTAGTGTGTGCCATAGTTTCCCCATCACTGCTACAGATATTTCTGCTTATGTGTAGGATTAGGAAACAACCTTTAGGTCATGACTGTGATTTTCAAGTTGGTTTGATTCTTCCCTCTAGATACGAAGCATTGTTTTTAATCAAGGTAGGCAACCTGGAGCTTTCGAGGTGTCTTGGATTATAGCCCTATAAGCCCCAGACACTATGGTTGATGGTCAAGGTTTATGGAAATTATAGTTTAAAACATCTGAAGGGAACCAGGTTGCATGTCCCTGGCTTATTTCTTTCAGAATGCATGTTTAAATTAGTTTGATGGTTGTGTATAAAGAACCAGAGGGTGTTTGCTATCCCAGTTTGATTAATCTGGGTTGATGTATTGTGGTGTATGAACAGGAAAAGTTTTCTCACTGTCAGAGCAATATGACAACGGAACCAGTTGCCTAGGGAGGTCATGGGCTTTCCTATACTAGAGACATTCAAAAAGAAACTGCATAGCTGAGTGAGATGGTGTGAATTGGGGTCCTGCAGTAGCAGGTCATTGGACCCCATGGCCTTCATGGCTCCTTCCAACATTACTATTCTATGATTCTGTGAACACTGGAGTAAATAGATATGCTTGTTCAAGCATAGATCCCTTTTATCTGGATTACTTAACATGGAATACTGATGATAACTAACTGCTATTGCTGATTGTTTGCTCATTGTTACTAACATACATTGGATCCCTTCACACAAGGGTGGATTGATTCACAAATGTGCATGAAGGAACAATCATTCACAGTCTTTCATATTGCTTTTTGCTTCAAGAGGTAACTTACAGGTGAGAAACAACGTATCACCAAGCAATGTACATGCAATATGCAGTGGCTTTATTTTGATGTGTACATATATAACTACTTAAAACATGTTATGGGGGAACACTCTGTATTAATTCTGGTCATTATGTGCACTGATAGATACTGGAGAGAAGTGACAGTGATATTTTATTTAAATCCTAAACCTCATTTCACAATATCGCAGCTTCATAGAAAAGTAATAGGCATTTACTATTCTTGAAACCCGCATCCAATGTAGCAATCCCTAACTGTAACCTCTCTTATATACCAGTTATAGAAGGGGGATTCAGTTCTGTGATTTTGATCTGACAATCACATTTCTGAAGTGTACAAGATGCCGATTGAATTCTTGCATAGGTAATTGCTGAGACCCCTCTTGGTTCAGACTACTGGGTTTCTTATGGGTGTCTTCCTTCTGAAAAATGGTTGCAGGCCCAGTTGTGTAAATACTGTCTCTGTGAAAAAAAGCAAATTGATATCCATTTGTTATATTGATCCATGGATATATTGCCTGCCTCCACCTGTGCAAAGGCGCCTAACTCCACCAAACCTTTTTGATGCTGTAGCTTTGCTTGTAAAAGTGTTAGACTTTGTTAGGACTGTAGGAATGTCATTTTAAGTGTCTAGTGCTATAGAATTTGAGGACCATAGTGCCATGCAACGTTAATGATTATATTTATGTTTTAAGGAATGTATAAGAAAGTCAATATAAGTAGTCATTAAGCATATGAGATATTTGCAGGTTAGACAAAAGCAGCCTTACATTTTAAAGACTCAAATGTTGCTCACAATATGCTAAGCTAGTATTTGTCTGAACATACATCGGGGAACAATTAATGGTTTAGTTTTTGGTAACACACTGTCAGAGTCAGTGCAGTATATTGGTTAGAATGTTAGATTTAGGATTTATGAGATTGGGGTTCTATTCCCCACTCTGTTATGAAGCTTCTTGAGTGACTTTGGACTAGTTACAATGTCTTGGCTTAACCTATCTCACACAGTTGTTAGGACAAAAGGGAGAGGAAGAGGGCCATTTGAGCTGCCTTGGGTTCCTTGTAGAGGTGAGATATAAATGTAGTAATAGTAGTAGTAGCAACAGAATAATAATACTGATAATATGAACCTTTGGACTGAGGTTTTATGAATCAGAGTTTGCTTTAACCATGGTTTGTCATTTGTAAACTCAGAATCTACAGAGAAATGAGGCACAAACATGACCACTGCTTGGGCTAAACCACTCTCACTTGCTTTTTCCTGAGCTCACTTCGTCTGGCAGCAGTCTTTTTTCTGTTTCCAGTAATACAGATACCATTTTCTAATACCATTTTCTGATACCATTTTTGCTGCTTTTTTGTGGAAAGGGAAAGCTTTAAAGGAACTATGTTTACTATAGTAACTTCAACTCAAGATTACACATCAAGAGTACAATCTTTAAGCAAGATACACTGGTGATTACACCCACATAGTACAAAATGATAACTTGTCAAAGGGATTGGTTCAGAAGATTAAATATTGGTCATTCTTCACTGGTTGAATGTTTTCCTAACTTTATTGTTGGGTATATCCTCAAGGTGCTTAGCTAGTTTGAACTGTTTTCATGACACTGAGCAAACAAAGGCCTGCTTCTGGGAAGCTATTATGTCTGACTGTGAGAGTCTAGTTTCTTTATACCATGTGACCTCTGCTGTTTGGGAGAGGGAAATCAATAGTATGAATGTTCTCTGCTAAGTCATCTCTGAGGGATGAGTAATATGCTAAAATGAAGAATGTGTGTAGTTATGATTGTTAGATATAACACTTTGATTACCATTTGTGGTGGTAGGAAAGGGCTAACCAACACCAAGGATCAAGCTTCTTTGAGATATGTCCAGTAAGGGGAGTGGGGAAGAGAGGTGAACTTGCTTTGCTGCTATACTTTTGCAGCTAACCAGTGATAAATGGGCTAGTTATGAGTGAACCTGTTTTAATTCTTTACTACCACTAGAGTATTTAGTATCTGTATACCAGCAGAAGTGGTGGAAAGTGGAAGTGGTGGGGAAAGCAAGCCAGGAATTGGCCCTAACAACTTTTCTTGTAAGATTGACTGTGGCCTGTTCAGCAATGCATGGTTAAAGCCACATAGAGGGTGTTTTGAAGGTGAAGAGTCACCACAGAGAATCCCTTGTCCTGTATGCTTGATAAGCTAGTTCATCTTACAGGTGGGTACACAAGCTGGGTTTTGGAAGCAGAATCTGATATGTGGACAGGATCATGTAGATGAAGGCTGCTCCTTATTATATAACTTGCTTCCTAAATATTTAAAGCTGTGAATATCAAGATGAGCACTTTGAATTGTGCTCACTCTGGTGCGCCCACAAGTGGAGTATTGTGTTCAGTTTTGGGCCCCTCATTACAGGAAGGATATAGCCAGGTTGGAGTCAGTGCAGCATAGGGCCACAAGGTTGGTGGTCGGTTTGCAGGGGATGGGGTATGAGGTGAGACTGAGGGAACTGGGTCTCTTCAGCCGGGAGAAGAGGAGACTCAGAGGGGATCTGTTGGTGACATACAGGTATGTGAGGGGATGTCACACGGAGATGGGTAGAGACCTGTTCTCCCCTGCAGAGCAAGGCAGGAGGCGCTCCAACAGAGCAAAGCTCAGGGAAGCCAGGTTCAATTTATATGACAGGAAGTACTTCCTGACAGTTAGGACCCCAAGGGTATGGAATGGGCTTCCACGGGAGGTGGTTGAGGCCTCATCAGTGAGAGTGTTCAAAGATAGGCTAGACATGCACATGGTGGGCATGTTGTGAGCAGAGCCGGCTGGAGCCGGGGGCCAGACTAGATGGCCTGGGAGGTCCCTTCTGACTCACTCTGTTTCTGTGTTTCTATGCTGGTTTTGCAAGCTGACCAGTGTGGTTGCTCCAAGTAACAAATGTGATGTTTTGATGTCAGAAACAGCCACCATTACCAGTTGTGGAAATGCATGAGCCTAATGGCTAATAGATTAATAAAAAGAAGCAGCATGATAAGGATTATCTGAATACATGGAGATAATATTGTTATTGCAATCACATTGCATTTATAGCCCCCTTTTTCTCCTCTTGTGAGAAATTGCAATTCTTTGCGTAATCCTTCATTAAAAGTTAGAGAACAAACTTGTTTCCAAGTTGACTAGACTGTACAGCAGTCACTACGCTCTGATTCTGTTTAATTGTGGCATCCAATTTAATGTAACTAAGTGATTTCATCCACAGAATGCATTGAAAATCATTTGCAGCAAGGCTTGGAATCTCATGGTACCGATTCCACAGGAGTTTCTCCACTTGAAACAACTTAACTGGTCAGCATTGTATGATGCGCTGCTGAAGCAGAATTTATTTGCTGCTTCACTGCCACAATATTACCCTGAACATGGTTCTTTATCTGTGTTAATACTCAAAGTGAGACTCTAACCATTGTCAAGCTGTTTGCTTTATTTGCTTGTAACTCAGAATTGCCTCAAAAGATTACATTATTTGGCTATAGTCTCAAAAACACAAAGATTTCCCCTTCCTAAAGAATGACTGCTCCTGTGGAATTGTGCCTTGGATGACACACAGCTTACATTGAGTTCAGAATCAACTGCCTAATGCCAGAATTGTTAGGTGTCCTAGTAGTCATCTCATTGGTTAGTGGGTGGAA